TACATTGCAGTCCGACAGCCAGGAACACCCAGCCACGATGAGGCGGTAAACCGTTGGGACGAACGTCATAATCACTAAAATAAATATCTAAACACAAAAATGATTGCTTATTCTCACTTGCTCCACTTAAACCAATATAAACGAATGCTCTAGAGCAATGATTAAGCAGTCTAAGCATAAAGAATTCTCATGAGAGCGACGGATCCAAGCAGAAGAAAAACCTACTTGTTCACTCACATCTGTTCATCCCTCGCACACAAAGAAGAGGTTTATGTAACGAATCTTTAAAACTGTTGCCGCTACGAATGAGAGTAAAGTGATGGCATAAACGCGTCCTTTTCCTACGCTGTAGCAAGTAGACCTTTCTGATGGCTGCTAATACCAGGAGCTGCTAATCGTTTATAGCTGCGAATACAGCTGTTTGGTTTCAGCGATGAAAGTGTACTTACTAGGTGGCATACACCAAAAGTATACATGCTATGTGGTTTTTGTAACCTAGGAACTAGCCATTTCGATTTGTTCACCATTCAACCATGGGTTTTTCATAAGCTAAAGTCTGGGACGATGTCCTTTTTACGCTCACTGGTTACGGTCTTCTACATCTCAAGGAGATGCCGACGTCGATGAGGACTTGACAGTATTTTATCAGTGCGTATGCCGTTCTCGTTTTGTTCAGCGAATTCGTTATTGAATGCATTGTTAAAGCAAGTAGCTTTGGAGAGAAAATGTCACCTTTAGCTGCATTTCATGATGCAGATACGTTAACATTCAGAGTACTTAGATAGGAGAGGCCCACTCTTTAACTGAGATGTAGAAGCTTGTGGAATTGTATTAATTTCGACGTTGCCAAGCTTTTTTTCATAGACGGTAAACGTTAGGAGAAATGGAAGGTGGTGTTTCTCACAGGCATTCTCTACTGATTTGGAAACCTTCCTTTTTCAGAGTAGGTGTTTTAGGGCTTCAGTGAATCACATGTAGTTTGCCGCTTCAAACTGGAGCGAAGGCAGTTGTCATGTTATTTGCTCAGTTCATCTGAAATAACGGCGAAACATTACAATCGCACAAGTTACGACAGTGCTTCGAACTGCTGCTTTATTGAGCAGCTTCCTATAACTTTGAACCGCACTTATATAAATCTCCCTGTAAAGACCATTTATAGGTGACATCTATCATTAATCGTGATAGGTGTCTTTCAATAGGATCGAGATTCGGTTCCCTTCTGTTCTTGAACAACCTTTTGGTACTACCGTAGTTTGGGATAGTTTTTGGACACCGCTCTATGTTACTGTATAAAAAGAGGTGTGGGAAACATGAGATTCAGGTGATTCATGATTAATCTCGTTATTTGATTTCACGGTAGCAGCAGTCCTTATCATCCATCGGTGATATCTAAGTCATCGTTTTGAAACCACCACCAAATGCTACGAATATCATCACCGATGCAAACAATTGCACTTCCTGATCTGTTGTGAAATACTGTTATTAGCCCAGAACTTCCCGAATTCTGCCAGCTTTTGAGTTCTAGGTGATGTTCAGCGTTGAGAAGTCGATGATTATCGCTATTTACCTTCGGTGCATCCAATAGTGAAACAATCTTTGTAGTTATGTACCTTCTTGGATTTGCATGACATCAATTTCATGGCGTACCGCCCACGTGTATGTCGAAATATTCATTTTGTAACTTACTGTTTAGGCATATTAGAGCTATCTGTTAGGCTGGGATTATTCAACAACGTAAACAGTTATCCTGCAGCGGTGAATAAGTGCATTGCTAATCTATTTTCAACCTTTTGCTTTCTTTTTGAAGTTATGAGAAAATCCGATGTAGGATAGGAGATTTTCAGCTGTCTTCTCTTTAGTGCATTCGCCATAACCCGAATTGATTTCAATACGCGCACAACTGGGAATGACCTAGCCCTTCAACTTAGGACGACCGTATACCAAAAGTCTACAAATTTTCCCAAAAACCGTTGCGAGGTTTTTATTCTGCCACGATGGAATTCTTAATATCTCACAAAACCTATGGAAAGTTTAAAACTACTTAAGTTATAGAGATATAGGAGGAACCGGGAAATCGAAAATACTACAGAGCGGGAATTAGTGCTGCAACCGCAGTACGTTTAGATTTCTGGTGTCATTCACCATATAATAAGGTTATGTGTGGCGGTGTGGTCAAAAATGCCCTGAACTGCACACTCTGGTTCGATTCCTTGCTCTTAACACAACCCATCATCCATTACGCTATGGTCGACAGAAGACAGTGTAATCATAAAACGAGTGATCATAAGAGGTCGTCTTCTCCATTCGTTATGAAGACTAACATATAGTACGTGCTTATTTCTGTGTTGTTTACGTGCATACGATTCTTCCTCATTCTCTCTCAGAGTAACTCAGGAGTAATTCCCACGACCGACTTTCTATCAATCTTGGAATTGATCGAATGATTCGTCGTATTCTTGTGCAGCAAATACGGAGTGTTATTCCATTATTCATTACGAGCAAGCTGACGTTTCGGCGAATTTCGCCTTACTCAGAGCCTGGAAAGGTCAAGTTGACCGCAATCTAACAATTTAACTCAGGGGAGATTGGCGAATGCATGAGTCCGTGGACGAGTTTACCGCGACTGGTCAGTCTAACCGTGTAGCATCCGACACTTTCCAAACTCAATCCTTAAGTTGGTATAAAGGTTATCATTATTTCTGGATCGTTTCCATGTCAATAAAGGTCACTTGTTAATCCTCCAACTAGGTTTTTCTACTGAATTCTAGGAAAACCCTGTTTTTCTTTTGTCCTGCTGTTTATCTCGATGTTCTGTTCAGCGTGAGCTTTGGAAAGTGCTGTCTTTACACAATAGATTGAAAAGTTTCTTTTTGTTTTGAGGTTTCTTCCGTCGTTATATTCATATGCGACTTTATCAACGGTTTGTTTCACCATTTTTGGCAAGCAGAGAGATACAGAGACAATTTTCGGTCAGCGATAGATCGTCATGGTATCAACTAAAGGTACACTTTCCCTTAGTTTTTCTTTATCCTTAAGACTTGAATGTTTATCGTTGAATTTTACTTGGAAAGGTTGACGTGACGGTGCACGTAGGTGCTATCGCACATCATTATGAAGGTTAAAAGATAAAGCTCTCGGCGTTAATGAATCCATGAGGAATACGCCACGCATTCGAGTTCATCGAGCATCGTTAGAAGTGATTGAGTGCATATCTGTCGTATACATTGACTCGCGGTGGCCTACCGATGTATCGAGCCATTGCTGCTATCCTCGCAAACAAGTTTTGTTCCAATTTTCAACCCTGGAGAAATGGAGGGCTTGATGAACCTGGACGCAGGGTCGATCTCATGTCTGTTGCAGGGCACCTCCGACCGCTGCTCTAAACACTCCCATACTTGTGCCGTATCGGTGAAAAATGTGTGAATTCCAATGTTTCTACCCAAATTCGTATAGTTCACTATGTCCTGACATTTTTTTTTAACTTTAAAGGTGCAGTTGGTTTCGGTTGATTACGGAAATGAATCTAAATGCTCGTGGATATGTTCTTACGATTCAGCGGGTAGATCCTCAGTAACAGCTGTATTCAGTGGTGTTTCCTGCGACCTTCGTAGCAATAAAAAATGGTGGATACAAAGTACGCCAACAAACTACTATATTGCCTTAAGGGGTAGCAGAATGGACTACATTATTCAACAACATATTTTGTGAGCTATGTGAGAACTCTGGAAGATGTGGGTATTTAGGGTGATCTACTTTCTCCATTGTTACAATCTACCTTTATGCAATCATTCTTTGATTCCGATACTCAGAAGTTCATCAGTGATTCAATCGCAACCAGCGGTTCGCTCTGCTTACAGGTAAGTCGACGAGTTTATCTTGATTTCCTCTTTCATTGATTAGCGGCCGAGTGATATTCACCAGAGCGATTTCAACTCCTCGTATCAGATTTTTTCTAGGTTTATTATGTGGAGGGTAGGTGTGTACATTGCTGTAGCTCTAAGGAAGATGTTATAGTTCGTGTCAGTTTCTTTTTTGTTCTCTTTCTCTAAAAAGCGCAGACGTTTCATTCGATTATTGTGGAAAATTTTTTGCTAAATTTCTCGCAAACGACTCATATTTTTTGGACACGTGTGTGGGGTATATTTTTTGCAAAAGGAGTTTCATTCCTTTTCTTAGAAATTTATTTTGGGTTCTCGTGCGCTATTTCAGTTTTCGAGGAAAGCATGAAGATTTGGAAAGTCGCGGTAACTTGGAAATTATCTGTTATTCCGATTCGGAGAAATATCATGTCATTCCTCAAAAACCTGAGATTTCTCTGCACAAATGGTTTGTCGTACCATCATGACAGAAGGTAGTACTGGGTTTGAAGCCATGATGACGAACATGGGGTTGATCCCACCAGCGGTGTCTCCTAAACTGAGTTTGACATTTGTATTGGAGTGTTCCTGAGTGTCAAGCTACGGCGTATAGTGGATGATTATTCATGACCTCAACAGTGCTTTTGCGCTGAGAAGTTGTCAGCACTTTTATTTGGTTGTTCAAATAGAAAGAGGTAGAGTCCACCACCATCCTGGTAGCAGGTAGTATGGGACGTGGTGACAACGTGTGAAGGTTTATCACATATTTCGAAACTCACTCCGTCTAAAGCACTTCGTGCCCAAATATTAGATTCTCAGTCAGGTAGGAATTATAGTGGTTACTATTTTTCATCTGTATGAGCGATTAGAGTAATCAGATATTCAAATAAATTTTTTTTAGTGTGTTTTTTAGTGTAGAAGGAAGTTCTTTATTTCTCCATCACGTACAGTTATGAACAACTTTTCTTCTTTACGTTCATATCCATTCTTACGTTTCTTGTTTTCTTTCTACGAATTCTCTTTTACCTAAATTCCCTCGTGCCATTAGTAGTTACTTTACTTCCTGCTTTACTTTTTTACTTTTGCCCATACTTAAGCTCTCATATCACACTAGTTGAAATAGTCAAGTTTCTGGTGTTATATATGTTTTTATTTCAGCTATACTATGCTTTGATGTCGTTTATTTTGTCATTTTTTCTATCGAAGACTAGTATTAACGGGATTTTGAATCGTGGGGAGATGTTCCTTTTCTCAACCAAGCAACTCAGGTATTTTCTCAATATACCTACGGAGTGGAACCCAATAGATAAACGGGTATCTTAACTTTTTCTATTTTTCACTTTCGTTGTCAATTTTCCTAGCACCCATCGTAGGCTACATACTCTTGGTGTGGTCTGTGGAACAAGCTCTTTATAAAGAATTTTGAAGGTTCTTGATCTTGGTGCTGGAGATGGTAGAGTAACCAAGAAGTTAGCTGCGTTCTACGCTAATGTCCACACGACAGAAATTTCACAGGTACGAATGGAAAAAAAAACCTTATTTTCAAATCTGTTAATCGGTATCTGATTGATTAGCAGTGCGAAAGAAGAAGAGGTTACGTGTCATACTGATCATAAAGAAATTCATAATTATATTAATCCCCGTATCCAGTTTTGCCTTTTGCTGCGGACGTGTGTGGCGCAATGGTTGGAGGCGGTTTTTTCAAACTTGTTTGGGAGAGTAGCAGCACTGACTCGATTTCAATCACTTCCAAAGATGCTTAATGGGGTCGAATGCATGGCACGCCCCTCAAGGATTGATCAACGCCGAGAGTTTCATCTTTATTTTGGCTACTTTACCTCTTGCAGGTTATGGAGTGGCGCCTTCGCAGTAGGAATTTTATCATTGAAGATGTTGAAGCATGGAGTTCGTCGTTGTATGGATTTGATCTCATTTCGGTTCTTAATCTTCTGGATAGGTAATGTTTTAACTTTCGAATAGTTCTTTAGTTTGGAGGACATGCTATGATATTTGAATACGTGGGATTTCTTTGAGGCATTACAATCCTCGGAAGTTATTGAGAGATATCTATGAAGCAGCTCTCCGATCAAACTGCTCCGTTCTCGTCGCAGTTGTCTTACCAATAGATCAATACGTTGAGTTTCACCCTTCCAAAAGAACCAACCGAGCAGGTGAGGCCTAACTTCCATGTTATTGAATGTGCTTACTTTATATTCAGGGGCTCATATGCAATTTCGCTAATGTATGTGAACGCTCAACAACTGTATAGCATTGAGCCTTCTGAATTACCGAAGTTAGAATGTTGAGAGAAAGGTAAAACGAAAGACACGCATGGTGTGATGGTGAACACGTTAACCCCGGAAAGGGTAATAATGCGTTCGTTCCCCACCGCTGACACCTGCGGTCCGAAGTTTTGCAAGTATCTCAGCACCATTGTACCTGTCCACAGATCTATAAGAAAAAGTATCATCTTGGAAAGTAAATTTCTTGATTTAGCGACTTATTCATATAAAGTAAGTCTAAAATGTCAACCAAGTTCAACTGTTTATATCATTTGAATTTTGTACAATTTTTTATGTTACATCTGTCGAAATTCATTTGATTATTTCATTTGACGACGCAGTCTGCAAGAGTGTTATCTGTTCAGAGACACATTCTGTAACTTGTTTAGATGTCCGATTGAAAGTGAAGGGAAACACTATTGAGCAGCAAGCTTCTTCTCTCGTTGAAAATGAATTCATTCCTCTTGGATTCCAGATAGTTCGATGGACGAAACTACCATATCTCTGTGAGGGAGATTTGAACAGTGTAAGTTATCTGTGCTACATGTTGATTTCTTTTGCACTTTTGCAGAAGTTTTGCTTCATGATCTTTCTTTCTCATTCTTCTTTTAAGTGAAGAAATGTTATTTGCAGCCATTCTATGTCCTAGAAGATGTCGTATTCCTATTGCATCCAATGCCTACTGAAACGTTACGTTTGTCGAGTTCTAATGGTTTTACTTATGTTAGTAATGAATTGTAGCAAATGTTTATATCGTGAACTCATTTCATGCGATTTTATTTCATTTTTATCGAATCGTCAACATATATACAATAGATTATTTCTAAATCTCCGATGACAACCAGTGGTTCTGGATCATCTTAACATGGGAGATCTACAGTGAAGTAAAATGTTTTCACGAGACGCTCCAGTTAACATCTACGTGTCTTAATTTCTAACATATAACTACTGTCTCCATCACTTATTACTCCAAATTTTTATGACATGGTACATTCTTGCTGTGTATGGTAACAATTGTAATATTCATGAGTACATTGAGAGTGTTGAGTAATTGATAAAGATGATATTTGAGTTGAGCACTACATGGTGCGGACGTGATCGTATTGTCATCCTTTCATTTTCAGACGAGATGATATGGAAGGGCTGCAAAAAGTAATAACTTTTTACGCAATTGAGGGTTCCTGTGTAGTTGCCTAACACTTACGGAGTCTTTAGGCGAGAAGCTGGAGGCTTCGGCGCGGAACTGCTCCTCCTACAAAGTTCATTGTTTTCGTAGGAATAGGTATTACATCGTAGCTAGTGGATTTATCGAGTAGTTCTGCTCGAGAAGAATGCATACTGATTAGATTCGCTATGATTTAACCAAGTCATCAAGAAGCTCTAGAAGACCAGCTGTAGGTATACTGTACTAATAAGTTAATGACATTATTGGTTTGCAATTCAAAAAACGTACCCAAACAACTATAAATTATTTTACTAATGAGTCAAAGCGCATAGAAGAACAGAACTCACTTTGCTGGCGTTGGTATGCCATGCTGTTCCGGCTGCCGAGAACCTGCTGATTGAACCTTGTTTTTGCTCGAAGACAAATGTGCAGAGTGGTTTGTCGAACGACTGTCCACGGACCTGGCAATTTAAATACTAGGTCGGGATGGAAAATAAGTGGTTGTTCTGGATAAAACTTTAATGTACTATAATTCAGCCTACCTCCCAACGGTTTACCGCCTCATCGTGGCTGGGAGGTGTTTCTGAGTGTCGGACTGTGATGTACAGCGGGGGGGATTCGTCCTCCCTGCAGGGTCGCCCAAGCTTGGAAGGAGTCCGGCGTTTTCGTCAGGAAGCCTAGCTAAGAGTAAACCAATACCAGGATCCACCACCGGTATCAAAGTCGCATGGTGGTAAATCTCCCTTTGATCCACAAGGGCTGTGACTGCCCGTGGTGGTGAAGGCCTGGAGCAGACTTTGGCCAGGCCGACCTCAGGATTCCAGGGAACCATAATGGATTAACCAGTAAATCTCTGAAAAGTGGTGATTATGCTGGGGCCCGCACAACTAGTGATGACGAGCCGTTCAACTATCAAGTAAGTAAGTAAGTCAGCCTAACTTCTGATGTTCTGGAAACGAAGGATTCTCCGAGAGCATTTTCAGCAGCGGTTTTGTTGAAGTTCTTTTCAAAAGTTTCTTTACCGTGGCACTTAGAAAAGCTATGGCCAGTTTGTGAGCTGTCTGATTATCACTCTGGATGAGCTAGGGCATCGGAACCCTATTCACTTAACTTCTGCCACGTCATCGGTGCAACATGTGGTCGAATGTCGTTCAGCAATAAGGCTGGATCTTCTTTGACCGATGCACATCCTCAAATTTCTGATGTATTTCGCCGGTTTTGTAACAGCGCTTTTCTGTTGTGATCGTCTCATCAGTATCCAGAGTTTGGTGGAGCAGGTCGGCCGCAATTAGCTTAAGCAAACAAGCAATCACCATAGCTTTCTTTGAAACAAATTCGATTTTAGAAAGATCTATTAATTTCAGTTCGGTCCAACTATCACGGTGAACGCCGTCGGTTGCTGTGTAGGATTCAATCTCCATCAAACGCCATAGTTGCGATCGGGAGTGCGTCGCTTTTATAGTGTAGAGAAGAAGTGGAGCAGATTTTGCGAGAACGATCTCTTTGGTCTTTTTTCAATTGCTCTGGCACCCATACATCGAGGTTCTACATCTTTTCGAATTACAAATGAGAAGAAGTCGATTTCTGCCAACACTAAATTCATATATAGCTTCCCATTTTTAGAAAGTCGGCTTAGTTTACCATTATCACAAAGAAACCATATTCGAATCCTAAAGGTAACTCACTTTCTTCGTGTTTGAGAGTTTTCATTGTGGGCCCTACGCGACTCGCCTCTCCCTCTTGTCACCGTGGTCCGTTCCACTGGCGGTTCTTGTTTAGTCTAAATGGATTTAAATGAGAAAAACTTAGCATGAGACCGACACTTAAGTTGTGAATGTGATCAAATTTCTAAGCGGATAAATTGGTATACCGTACGTAGGTCAATCCTTTTACGCTACGTTACATTGTTACATTGCATCCCAGAAATAATATGTTAGTAATATAAATCTAACTAAAAATGATTGTCAGAAACAAGGCACTTAATTTTCTGAACAAGGTGGACCGTTTGAGACACATACAACTCATACACGGCTGAAACTGTTTCGTGTTTAAGCATTGAACAAACCTATCTCATAGTGGACTTTGTCAATCACGGTTACAATCTAGAGATCCTTGCTAACAATAAACAAGTTTCTTACAGAACCAAGAAGAATCATTGTATTGCAAGGATGTCCTAATAAGGCTTAAATTTTAAACAAGTATAGGCACTTTCAAACAATCTACGAACTTCTGAAGATAAAAAAAACGGTATTTGCTCTTGGATAAGTAGTGCAAAAAGTCTGTAGGTTTGTAAAAGCCTCAACTCGCCCAGTTTCTCAATTGTCTTCGAATTACCAACAGTCATGATCTTAAAAATGTAAGATTTTCAATGAAGACAGAATATGTAGAATCGATGGACGAGATGTAGTTGAGAACAATGTGTCTTTAGAGTTTTCAGTCATAAAAGATTTAGAAGGTTAATGCGATGTAATGAAAATACTGTACATTTTATAATTTTATAAAAAAAAGAAATACCGTGCTCCTGAAGGGAACCGGCTTGCGATGGCTTGACAACGACCTGGCAGAAGAGCTCAAAGCTTTTGTTGAGTTCTGTTCCCTATAGAATTTAAGACTATCACAATATCACAATATTGAGTTTGTTGAGAATAGATGTTCACCAAAAATTGAGCGTAAGATTCACAAATTGACTTCTGCAATAGGCCAACAGGCTTGATAGAATTAAGAAACGAACTTGCAGAATGGTATATGCCTTTCGGCTGCGTTTTCGCTGAAATTTCTACCACAGTAGTCGCACTGCACATAATCTGAAACAAATTACATTTTATTACCCTTAGATCGATATATTTTACTTAACGAGCTTTAAAATATTTAGCGATTAAACTGGAGAGTACCAATTAATTGGTGTTCCATCTATTATGTCATCCAAATCGAAGTATGTCAAAATTTTTGCCTCAGAGAGATTAGTCTCAAGCCTGGAAAATGCGCTTGAAACAAATGCAAACCACAGGGCTGATACGTAGAAGTATGGATCAGAATAGAATGTGCACAAGCCTAATAGATTCTCCATATGAATGATTTTTGACTCGTGATTGTCTTGCTACGACGTTAGAACAGAAGCTTTAGTCGCCGTTCTCTCAAGGTCATAATTCATGTCAATTCTTAGGAGATCTCCATATAGAAGGTCGGAAGCGGGAATATCAATTTAGGGCAATTTGACTATGGTGAAAATCTGTGCTTACAACGTACCACTCACGTTATTCAAATCCACAATGGTGGACGTAATGAAGCAAGCTAAATATGGTAAGAACGACGTCATCGCAATGGTCGATGCAAGAGCACATCGCCCATTAAACTGTTGAAATCAGCGAACCGCTGCTGTTCGAAATACACGTTAGTACAATATTTGGCGCCCTCAGCGTCCTCGTCAACATGAGCTTCTCACGAACATAGATCTATGCGTTTGCGGTTGAAAATTTGTAAGTTAATGCCTGATCTGGAAATGTTCTTCGTCTACGTCCCAATCTATGATGAAAACGTGGTTGAGGATTTCATTACAGTCTCGGAGAAATTCTAGAGCAATCACACTATCTACACCTTTCAAGAAAAGTGTAACACTACAAAACAGACTACTATTTTTCTCAAAGCCATACGCGGGATCAGACCGCCGCGTCCCTCTCGCACGGCTCCTTTTAACAGAAAGCACTAATTAACTGCTTGGCCGGTATTTGGAAAAAAACCTATATCGACCATGCTGAAAATAGAAATGGCAACATCATTTGGGAATACTGGCGACTTATTTAGCAGTTAGACGATAATGCTAAAAAAGAAAAGTTCGAAGTTACGAAGAAATGCTGTCCACAATCTCTGAAGCTAACATAGAAATGTGTAGTCGTCACAAGAACAACAGACAGCCACCGCCGCTCAGAATTACAAAGCTCTACAAGAGAGCGATTAAAGTCCTACTTCGAGAAGAACAGAAGTACTGTATAAAGGTATAGAATGCTAAGGTTGAAAAGAGCATTCGAACGCACGGCGGTACGAAATGATGATGACTGCCATTTAATGTCTGGATAGAACATTCACTGTTTCCAGAAAATGGAGAAAATTCACTTTCGATCTTCTCGAAGGTGACCTCCACCATATCACACAAAGGAGGTTGGATAAATCGTTGCAACAGTTCCCCTTTTCAAAGTCGGTCATGATATCTCGTCGTTGAAATAACTGGGAAATTCGACTCGGACAGGATTCGACCCAAAGGTCAGAACGATCTACCATCAATTCACATCAACACATTGATTCACCTTTTCCATCGGGCATTTTTCAGAATGTAACACCTCAAATAGCTGAAGAACTGAAAACGGTTCTTTTTTTTTTTACAAAAGAGGAGAACTACATAATCGGTATCTACCTCTCGAGCCGCGCTAGTCAGGTGAAAAGGCCAATGATGCTGCAAAACAACATGCGTCCTTGCGTTCTAAAAAGGGAAAAGCTGACCAGGCAAGAATTGAACTTCATCGGTTCACCAACCAAGAGGTAGTCATAAATCCGTTCGACAAATTCGTCAGTTCTGGCGATTCAACCTTTTAAACAGATGGAGTAATTAAGCTTTTACCATCTCAAAAAAGGTACGTTTGTTGTAATGACACATAATTTGGCTGACACCTAGACTAGCTTTTCAAAATTTACACTTCACGCTGAACAATCTCGATTCACAATGTTAACTTTTGATTTATGCATACTGCAATTTTTCAAGGCAGGGCAGGCTGTGAAGTACAACCAAAATGATGCTGAGACATTTGCAAAACTGCGGATCACAGATGTCTGCGGTAGAGATCGAACACACCATTACCCTTTCCGAGGGCATACGCGTTGATCAACACATCATGCGAATCCTTCCTTCCGCCTTTCTCTCAGCTATGTTTCTATCTACCAATGCCATCAGTAATCATACGCCGGATTGATCTGCGGAGCACCAATCGGCCTTGAATGCAGTTTAGCTGAGGCTGAAGTCTCGATTCACTTTGGAATGTTTTTTCATTTCAAAGAATTAAAAATACGGGTAGAATTAGTTGTTTTAGGAACCAAGAGTTTAGCAGACAAATACGAAACTCCTCCGATTGAAATTCGTATTTCTTCGTTAACGGTTTTTCCATGTTTCATTCATATTATAAATAACTGTTTCTGGAAGGATTTGGTTGGTCTCTACGTGAATTACAATACTGCATAGTAAACCTCTTTCAATTTCACTTGATGTTAACATCTCTTGTTCGATGACTTATGTGAATAATTTCTCGGAGGAATCGGTGAAATAGTGATGAACAGTATCACTCAATACTGAGTAGATGTCACACTCCACAGTAAGGGATATGCACGGAACTAGAATGAACTGACGTTGTGACAATTCACCGTTCGGGTACGGTATTGCTTTTCTTACAGAACGACCTTTTGTTTGGAATAGACGCTTAAGTTGTTATGGATCAGTGCTTAAAATAGCTAAAAATTAACATCCGATGATATAAAATATACAACACTGATATTTCTTTACAAAATTCTTTTTCAAATCCAGAATCCTTCTCGTTCAGCGCAAGATAATGCTTTTCATCGGTGTTATATATGTGTATATATACATATATTGTCGGACGTCAGAAGCTGCAAACTTCGGCAAATGGAAACTTTTCTTCTCACATGGTTCCTATTACGTGTTCCAGTTATTAATGCAGCTTTCAACGACTAACGCAACGAGGTTTCTGTGAAGGAGTAGATAGCTTCGCTTAGATGCGCTGCATCGATACTATGGAATAATTCATCCATGTCACATTTCAAAGTTTTGGGGCATGTTCTAACAACTCTTACAACAATTCAGTTATCTCGAAATTCGAAAATGAAGCAGGCATCACACTTACCGCTTGGTACTGCAGTACGTGGTGGAGGTGGTAACGGAGCACCAGTTTTTATCGCATAGTCGACCTTCTTCGAAGATGAAACTGCGTCGATGAATGTCTCGTGACGTTCTTTCCAATTTGTCATCGGACGTGGGTACACTCCTCCAAGCTACAATTTACAAGCCAATAGTAAAAGAAACAATACCCCTTGAGAAAGAGGGAGAAACTGAAGTAAATGTAAAGAACGGGATGGGAAAGGACGAAAAATAAAAAGATATCAAAATTGCAAACAACGTTCAATCAATTTGTATGATTACTGTACGAGGAAACAATCTTCTTCTGATATTTTCTAAACTTAGTTGGTTATGTAGAAGAATTTTCGTAATTAACTTTATAAAACGAAATTTGGAATGGGTGAGTTAAATGTGATTAGACCAATAGAAAGAAATGAAGGAGAAAAAAGAGCAAAAGCTGCAAATTTCCTCCTAAGATGATGATCGCAATAGAGAATTTTCATTTAACTGTTCCTTTATTATCTACATAAAAATACGAGATATAAAACAGCGCAACGAGGGTCTCTTGAGTCTTTTAACACTTAAGACCAAAACTTTAACTCCACCAAATGGGCATTCTCTAGGCAGGGGAACAACGAGTTTAAGTACCGACCAACAAATTGGCCACCAGGTGAGTTGCATATGACTCAAGTGTGACCAGCCAAAATGGGAGCATCCGTAACTCATTCTCTTTCCTGCTTTGTTTTGTTGCCGCATGGCACCTTTTTAATCATTATATTGCTTCTCGAACACAAATGTGAAAAGTGTGAACCAGGAATCGATCTATTCTTCATTTCAAATTATACAAATGCCTTTTTTCGAGTGAGTTTATCGAGCGGTAATTTGAGTGGTAATTGACCACTACTTTATTACAATCGCTACAATGACGACTTCCAAATGCTGACGAGAATGTGGTTACATGACGGATAAGAGTAACATATAGCAAATGGCAGCATCTTCCCAACGGTTTTCCGGCTCATCGTATATATGCTGTCTTTTCGATATTTAGCTAGGAGGTGTTCCTGGGTGTCGGGCTGCGATGTACAGCAGGGGAATTCATCCCCTCGCCAGATCTCCCAAGCTAGGAAGGAGTCCCGCGTTTCCACCAGAGAACCCAGCTAATAATAAACCAAAACCAGGATCCGGCACCATCGTTGTATCAAACTAGTCGCATGGTGGCAAATCTCCCTCTCACTCACAAGGGCTGTGACTGCCTGTTGTGGTGACGACCTTGAGCAGATTTTGGCCAAACAATTCCTAGTACTCTAGGAAACCACAATGGGTAAACTAGCAAATCTTCGAAAAATGGAGAATATGCTGAGGCCCGTACAACCAGTGAAGGCGGGCCATCCGGAAATTCAAATATCCAAAAGACAGCATATATGTTATTTGCACTTCTAGAGCAATAGATCAAAGTCATCTTCTCAATGTTTCGATGTTCTCAACTCCTCATGTCCTATAGTTATTGAAAAATTATCGTCTATCATCGAAATATCAGCAAGTCTGTAGTGACACAGAATTAGGCATAGTGCCATGCCTCCGCCACATAAAATTGGGCATTACTACCAAGTGGTTTAAGAGCAGCACTGATGAATGAACTTACACTAGCAGTACATGTCAAACTAGATTATTGAAGTTCATGCAAAACAACGTTATTTTACAGGAAATTTACCGGCTTATAGTATATCCAAATCATAGACAGAACAAACCGTTTCTCGCTCTTTCGCAGCTCGACGAACATCTGCGTAGGAGATATCACTTCCATTCGCACGTTGTTTTCCGGAATCGAATGGCTTTCGATCAAGTTTGCTCAACTTCTTGCACACAGGTTCATGCTTCACCTAAAATCATTGCTAACTTCAGCTACCGGAGATCATTTCAACATTTTTCTGCCTATTCACTACAGGTACTGCACTGAATTTCCTCTACTTGCTATCTCACTCCAAAATTTGAGCTGTAATGGAACAGTACCACAACAGTAATTTAGTAAGAATCGCATCCTAAGGAGGTGGTCTTTGTTGAACAAACAGATAACGTTATCTGTTTGCTGTTGTGGTACTGTTCCATTACAGCTCAAATTTTGGAGTGAGATAGCAAGTAGAGGAAATTCAGTGCAGTACCTGTACGCACTGCGAAAGTAGAGAATTGGGAGCATAACACACCAAACTTTTAAATCGTAAAACAAGCCTGTGTAAAAAAGTATTGAACGGAGCACAATGTTGAAAACAAATTATAAGTTACAGACAGCTACTGAAAAATTACAAAAGAATTCTGGTTTAGATGGTTCAACCTTATCTATAAAATTTAAGTGCTACCTAAAAATCTCAAGCCTAAGGTCGATGAAATCTCAGTTGTGAAGCACATTGAAGCGGAAGTAATTGAAAATCTCACCAAACTCGTTTCTATAAATTTTCGACTGCAAATCTTACATGGAAACGTAGGCTCCACACTGTCCACTTCTGAAACAGACTACTAAAATTCACAACGGTGAAGATTGACGTTGGCTGGTGCCGAATCCGTGTAGAAAGACTGTTATGGACCCCATTTTGGTTCAATAAACGCTTTACCGAAAGCAACGGATAAGTACAAAATTGGAAACACGGAGCTAAGTTTCAGCTAGTTTTGTAGAGCAGTGACAAACCTTTTTCTGTCATGTTAAAATGAGGAGGAAAACAGAATTTAGTCCAGCTTCCCACAAAGACGATGAAAATTCGCTGTTGCAGCGTATCACCCAGCAACAACGGCAGTGCATCCGTTGCTAGGAGTCCTCGGTTCATTGACTAATGCTTGCCTGCATTCGTCCAATGTCATAATGGCAACTTGTGCGGTTGGTTGACTTCGCGCATTCATGGGATAGATTTGACAATGCGCATGCATCTTTATGCATTTTATTTCAAACGGTATATTTTGCTGCAGAGCTTCTTCGATATGCTGTTTGTATTCGATTGATGGAGCGCCACCACAAATATTCTATAGGGTGTGCACGAGCAACGCTTTATTATTCTATGATTAATATGAATCCGCTTTCCGGTCGACTTTATTCGCCTCACTGTCACGCATCCAAAAAATGCTGCAGGCAAGGGTGTAATAAGCTATCTCTTCTGCAAAAATATCAATCCTTGACATCTGTGATGATTCTGTGCATTCTTTATTGAGTAGTAACACAGAGAATGTAACAATGAGGAGGACAGTTGGGAATTTTTTTTGTGGCAAAGGAGACGGGGAGGGTGGGTGGATTCCCTCATTCGTGAGATTGAGTGCTTATCCTACTTATTTGAATGCTTGGACGACTCGTCCTCAATGGTTGCGCGGACCCCAGCATAATTTCCACTTTTTCGGAGATTTGCGGGTTTAGCTATTGCGGTTCCATGGAGTAGGGAGGTCATACCAGGCAGTCTGCACCGGTCGTCACCACCACAGGTAGTCGCCGCCCTTGTGGATCAGAGGGAGATTTGCCACCAAGCGACTTTGATACCAGGACGGTGGTGGATCCTGGTATTGGTTTACTCTTGCCTAGGCTTCTTAATGGAAATGCCAGACTCCTCAGTTTGGTAGACCCTGCCAGGTGATGAATCCCTCGCTGTACATCGCATCCCGACACCCAGGAACACCTCCTAGCCACGATGAGGTGGTAAACTGTGGGCAGGCAGTGCATATCGCTCATAGCAAAAATTAATGCATAAGTCCATTCTTCTGATATGCTATACAAACTTTTCGTACTTTATAATGAATGTGAAAAATAGCATGATTCAACCATTGGATCAGTTTTGGATGGAGATTCGTCATCCACCATGAGCAAAACTGCATGTCGTCGCATTTTGACGGGAGGGAAATATTAAGTGCGAGAATGGATGATCCGTATTCATTTATTTGGAAGACATCGCTTTTTCAAATCAAACCATTGCTTAGAATACTTCAGCCTTCCGCTTCAGGTCAACTTCATTAACTGAATGCTGGAAAAATAAGCGAATCATTCAAGTCATAAAGCACAAACTCAACCCCTATACATTCAGTAAACGTTTTCAACACTCGTCGAAAACCTTATCTGTTTACTTATGGAATTGCTTCAATGCTTTCATCATGCCGTACAAACGCGCGAAAATATTTAATCACATTAATCAAATGGAGTTCCTTAATGCACGCTTAAAGGACAAATGATAAAGCTCTCGGTGTTGATCAATCCCTGCGGGATGCGCCATGAGTTCGACTTCACTAAGCATCGTTAGAGGTGACTGCATGCATATATGGCCTTTATAATGACTCACCGAGCCAGTGCTGATATCCTCCCAGACAAGTCTGGTACCAATTTGCTGACCCCGGAGGAATGGGAGGCTTGGTGGGCCATGGGTGATGGGATAAATTCCTTGTGTGTGTTGCAGGGCGCCTCCGTCCAGCGCGCCACACACTCCCTTAGGGAACACTTATTTACTGGAAGCCGAACTCGACCCAAATTTGGGCAAAAGAGAAAGGATGCACACTAATATTGAAGTGAGCGCAGAAGTACTTGCGCTACTTGGTTTATAAGGAATTCTAGTTGCCAACAACGCACTTTATTGGAGCCGATCCAAAGTAACCATCTTCTCCTTCTTCACAGTATTTTATTGAGTCTTTGCTTGTTGTCTAATATATAGAGCCCTCGTGCTAAAAGCAGCAGAATAAGGAAGACGGAAATCAAAACCTTGAGCCAGACCATGAAGTTCGTAGAGTTGCTCTCTCAAATAGGCATGAAATTAAACTCGCAACCTCCCTATCCGTTGCGAAACGAATAATCTTTAAAGAACGATCACTCACACTTAAATACATTAGCGATATGTCTAAAAGAGCCAAAACGTGACCCTATTCTTCTCATTCCCCACACTGTAGTATTGTTACAGAGAACTTATGGCTATCACATTTCTTCTCGTCAATCGCGTAAAGAAATGCTAGATAACACTAGATCAGAGAACACACACTTTACTCTTTCATGACACATTAAATGAACACAAAGATAATAGCTTTTACTCGTACTAGACCTACACGTTGACCGACACATGCGTGCTGCGCTCATGAGTTCAATAGAATCAGAAAGCAGCTAATATGTCGTACAAAATAA